AGTCACACAAAGTCCTTAGAGTCTTGAATTTTAGAAAGGGTTGATTGTAAAGAAGTATCATCAGTATAGATGACTTAATTTCTTAGTTAAAGGATCAGATTCCCAATAACGCATAGGCACATGTTGTAATGCAGATTTACATGACCTCTTTGGCAAGCAACAACAATAACAACAACCCGGTATAATTCCACTAGTGTGTCCGGGGAGGGTAGTGTGTACGCAGACTTTACCCCTACCCTGGGATAGAGAGGCTGTTTTTGATAGACCCTCGGCATCCCTCCCTCCAAGAACTCCGCACCTTGCTCTTGGGGTGACTCGAACTCATAACCTCTTGGTTGGAAGTGGAGGGTGCTCACCACTAGAGCAACCCACTCTTGTCTCTTTGGCAAGTGATACTAGAAATATTAAATCGATCCAGAATCTATCAAATTTTAAATAAGCAATAGGGTTAACTAGGTGAAACATGTGTAAGTAAAACTAGATGGGTGTGCATCACGACCTTAGGCTCGCATCCACGTAGGCTATTTCTAGGTCAGTGATTAATCGTACATCACAACTGCGACGTATGTTCCGCGATCACGATGAATACACCTGGGCAAACTATTTAACATCTCTATTTTGAGGGTTTGGTTATTATATCATATTTTGAGATAGAGAGCTCGGTTTTGGTCAATTTTAGAGGGGATTTTACAATTTGGATTGTGGTAAGTATAATTGACTCAGATTTATTTATATTTCATAATTTCATCTTTGTTTTTAGTATTTAATTGGTTAAATAAAGTGAAGAAATTGGTAATTTCAGTAAAACACTTTTCTAAATGAAATTTGATGATTTGAAGGTCGATTTAAGGTTGGAATTGGGTGAAATTGGTATGGCTGAACTCATAATTGAATGGGTGTTCGGAATTTATGTGTTTTGTCAGGTTTTGGAGTGCGATCTCGGGCTTGAATTTTTGGGTTGACTTTTTGATGTTGATAAAGACCGAAGCTTTATTGTTTGGAGTTGTTTCCTACGGTATTATTTGATGATAGTTGTTTGTGACTAGATTCAAATCGTTCGGAGGTCGGTTCGCGTGAGAAGGGATATTTGGAGTGTTGAGTCCCGCATTTTGAGGTAAGTAACATATCTAAACTCGGATTTGAGGGTAATAACCCTGGGAACTATGTTATATGATATGTATTGGGGTGACACACGCGCTAGGTGACAGACATGTGTGTGCACCGGAGTATTCATGATTTGAGGTGGAATTTAGACTATTATGGATTGGTATTGCTTTTATGCCTCGCTATATCTGTATTTTCTAAACCTGTATGATTATTTAAGTTTTTATTGATGTTACCGCTAGAATTAAATTTCGAGGGTTTTACCTCCTTTCTCATTATTTGGAGTTTGGAGCTCTGCTAGAGGTGATTTATGCGGAGATTTTCATTATTACTTTGTGGGTAAGTAATTTTCACCTGGATTTGACTATTTATCTTGAAATCCCATGGATTCATGCACCTTAACAATTTTAGAGGGAAATTTGGGGTTTTAGCCTAACTATTAAGAGAATCAATTTTGGGGATTTGAGGGTCGATTTGGACTTGAGTTTGGAATCTACTCACATACTTGTACTAGCGCGGTTCTGGATATTCGGGATCTAGCCCTTAACTCGTGTTTTGATTGTGTGGGCCCCAGTTGACTTTTGTTAACTTTTTCAGAATTGAATAAAGATTGAAGCTTTATTATTTGAAATTGATTCTTATAGCTTTATTTGACATTATTGAGTTATTTTTTGCTAAATTTAGATCTATTAGGAGGCCAATTTGTAAGGGAAGGCATTTTTGGAGTATTAATTTTGCTTGTTCAAGTAAGTATCTTGCCTAGCTTTTGCCTCAGGGACTAGTTGCTTGAATTTTTTATGTTGGCTATGTGTTGGGATGGCGTACATGCGAGGGGTTGAGCATACATGAGTACACCGGGTTTATCCATGTTTGTGGTAGTCTTTAGGCTATATTATGCCTCGTATTGAAAAGGTGTGGCTCTTTCTAACATGCTTTATATGTTTGTACGAGTACGTGACTTCGTGAATCATGCTAGAGATCATGTGTAGGATTACTTCCATATTTGAACATGATACTCATTGTTGTGTGGCGTATCCGCCTAATTTGAGTTGTAGTCGTACACTTCGCACACGTATACACTTTAGCATACTATTTTATATGTCCATGATATGTCAAATGATATCCATTGACTGCATGCATGTATTCATGCATATGCATTTTGCGTTATGGACTGGTTTGCTAGCACGTGAATAGTCTGTACAGGTTGAGTTGATTGTGGTACATGAGTTGTGCGTGCAGTTATGGCACGTGAGTTATCCGTACAGATGTGGATAAGGATCCATTCCCCTAGGATGGCGCTCATGTTTCTCCTTGATGACGTAGATGGTTATAAAAAATTAATCAGTGTTGGATTTTGTGTATCTTCTCTATATGCAAATTCCTTGGATGCATACATGATTTTTACTGCATATCTCCTCTATATGTTATCTCCATAATTGTATACTTGCCTTTTTACGCATGACTTCTCTATATGCTGCTTTAGTTAACGAAATGATATGCAATACATATCTTCTCTCTATGTAACTTGACTTGTTTATTTTTGCATATATTCTCTATATGCTGGGTTGTTAGTCTATTTTGATATTAGTGCATATCTTCTCTATTGCACTGATCTTATCTGTATTTTATGTGTAGATTCTCGTATCGTTGTTACGCATATATATATGTGTTCATGAGTTGTACAGATTCGACATGTGAGTATTATTGGTGATTCTCGCCACTACCTCTCCAAGGTTAGTCATGATACTTACTGAGTACATGGAGTCGGTTATACTCATACTACACTTTGCCCTTAATTGTGCAGATCTAGGAGTCGGGCCATTTGAGTGATGAGTGTTGGACTATTGTTGAGCTGTTGAGACCAAGGTAGAGTTGCTTCCCGATACAGTCCCTAGCATCTCGTTCTATTTTCATTACTATTGTTGTTTTAGACAATGTATTGTATTTCAGACATATATTCGCACATTAGAGCTCATGACTCAGTGTTACCAATTTTGGGGTGTTGTTGTAATATTTTGGTATAGTTATGCTTATTCGACATTTGAGCTCCTTTATTTTGTCTTTGTCATTATATTTCAAAAATTATTATTGATTGGCTTGCCTAGCAAGTGGGGTTAGGCGGCATCACGACCGATGATGGTTTTGGGTCGTGAAAAGTTGGTACCATAGCACTAGGTTATTTAGGTTTCACGAGTCATGAGCAGTCTAGTAGAGTCTTGTGGGTCAGTGCGGAGAAGCATGTACTTATCTTCAAGAGACTACATGGCTGTTAGGAAAAACTTCTCTTCTTTTATTCTTTACTGTGCATATTTGTTTATTCTGGAGTTTGAATCTTTGCTCTTCTATTCTTTTATAGATGGTGAGGACACGTTCTTCTGGTACAGCTGAGCGGTGGCCAGTACCCTAGACCAGAGCCGCAAGAGGCCAAGGTCGCGGCAGAGGCCGAGGTGGAGCACATGCCACGGTTAGAGTCCCCGCTGGAGCAGCTACTATAGGGCCACTCGTAGCACCTATTGAGGAGTAGGTTTCAGATTATGTTATGCCGATGGGACCAGCTCAAGCACCTGAGGGACCTATTGCTACACTTGGGTTTCAGGAGACTTTGGCTCTGATTTTGAGCGTGTATACGAGTTTGGCTCAGCCAAGTATGATTCCAATTGCACCAGCTACATCATAGGCTGGAAGAGGAACCCAAACTCCTGCCGCACGTACACCAGAGCAGTTGGTTCATGGTCATCAGACACAGAGGGTTCTTCCAGTGCAGTCAGTCATTGCAGTCCAGCCCGAGATTATGCTAGTTTTGACTGCTGTGGAGCAGAAGAGACTAGAGAGATTTTAGAAACTTAATCCTCCTCACTTCATTGGAGAGCATACTGAGGATTCACATGGTTTTATTGATCAGTGTCATCGGATTCAGCGTAGTTTTGGTTTGGTGGACTCAAACGGGGTTGATTTCATCACTTTTCAACTAATAGGGTCAACTTACAAATGGTGGCAGACATATGCGTTGAGTAGGCTAGTTGGTACAGTACCACTCACATGGTCTCAGTTCTCCATTTTCTTCTCAAAGAAGTTTATTCCACAGACTCGCAAAGATGAGTTGCGCAATGAGTTTGAGCACCTACGCCGGGAGGGTATGGCTGTGACTTAGTATGAGATGAGGTTCATGGACACGTCATGCTATGGAGAAGGTTGGGAGATTCATTGAGGGCCTTAATTTTGGTATCCGCTATGGAATGACTTGAGAGGTCGAGACTGTACTACTTTTCATCAAGTTGTGGAGATTGTCTAGCGCTTAGAGCGTATTCGCAGGTAGGAGAGAGATGAGTGGGATGCCAAAAGGACTCGTGGTTCAGGTGGTTTGGGGTGCTTCATTTAGAGGCCAGGGAAATAATACTTTTTGAAAATACTACGTTACATAATACTTTTCCTTGGTATGCATGTTGAGGCTAACAGTAAAGCCCGTGTACTTCTTTAGGAAAATGGTGGAATAATGTAGGCTGCAGATTTTAACTTATATTCTCTAAGATGCTAAGCATCTTAACGTAATACTTTTACGGTCTTAGGGTATTTCTTCTCGTGTATTGAATTGCATCTGTTGGATTAGTCCTTATTGTATTCCCTAACTTCAGCAATTAGCGCTAAGCAAGTAACAAGACATTTTCAATGATTAAATTTACTCCTTTATGTACCTTTTTCTCTCTATGGGTTTATACTTGCTAGTTCTGGACAGTGCCGAATCGAAATATCTAAATATCGTTCCATTCCAACGTAGGAACACCCCTAACTAACACTCAAATCAGATAGGGAGTTAAATGCCATATTTTGAAACCTCAAGGTGTCAACTGAATATAATCTAATTTCATTTCATTCTTTATACTGAATCATTTGAACAGAATCTGGAACATTTGTCTCAGAATATGGGAGTGATAAGATTCACTTGTTTCATTAACCCCATTGGAGGGAAAGCCCCAAATTCAAGTAACGGCAGCCACCCTTCAAATCCAAAGCTGCCTCCGCTCCTTTCCGTTTCAAAGTCATCTTGGGTCGTCAGAACTGAGGCAAGTTAAATCTCTATTTACCTTTTTCTGTCTTTTTATCTTTAATTTCTTTTTTCTCGTGCTGACCAAACTTTTTATCTTGGGCCGGGGGGGTGTAATACTTGTTTGTATATTTTTTTTAGTTCCAGAAATTGATAGGCTGACATACGGGAATAAATATTATAACTGTATTTAGCATTAGAATCTTAAAATTTTTTGATGCTCTAAGTTTTAAGATTCATTTTCCACTTGATGTTTGACCTGGAGTTACTCCAAATTCTATATAGTTTATCCAATACATATCCAACATGATTTTGTGCATCATGGTTTCATGCAACAAATTGCTTAAAGGAACTCAATTGGTTGAAAAATAGAAGAACAGAAAAATACAAAAAGATTCAATATTTAACCAGAAAGCATAGTGTAATTGGGAGTGAATTTAAATGGAGATACAGAATCAGAGACTGCATCTCTTTGCTGAAGTGTCATAGAAAGGATTGGAAAATTGATTGGAATGATAATCCTGGGGAAAAAAAGAGACAGTCACATGCTTATTAAAGTCAAAGAGAAGAAATTGCATCAAGGTTTCTTTTTTCTTTCTAAGTATTTTTGGTTCAGGAAGTTTCCGATGAACAAGAAAAGAATACATTAAGGGGTCGTTTGGTTGCCGGTTAGAGTTATGCAGGTATTAGTTATACATGTATTAATTATGCAGGGATTAGTTATGCAGGGATAAGTAATGCAGGGATTAGTTATGCAGGTATTAGTTATGCAGAGATTATTTTTTTGAATGTTTGGTTTGTTGTATTAGAAATTGATGTATATTATATAAATTTTAAAGTAAAATGCTTGTTTACAACTATAACCCTGACCTTCTTTTGCATTGTTTTTTCTCTCTTTCCATTTATGTAGGAAACAATTTAGTTAGGAACTTTGGGTGTTACTTTCACTTCTTCGTCATACTACTGAACTATGTGAAGTTTAGACATATTTAATTTTCACTTCTTAGTTTTGGTATTTCCATTTTCTAGTAGCTTCTCCAGTTTGCTTTTGCTAGTTTGTTCTTTAAAAATGAGAGAAGACAAGGTATATAGTTGGCAAGTGAAAGCAAGTGAAACCTATTGACGGGTTGGCAGAGAAATAAGGAAGCCTTATGTGTAAAGTGATAGGGGTAAATTTGTCATTTCAGTATTTTATCCATGTATTACTAATACATGTATTAGTTATTCCATCTTCTACCCCGCATAAAATAATACACAGATTGACTTATAACTTATACATGTATTATTTATGCATAATTGAAAAATGTCAACCAAACATGGTATTAGTTATGCAGAATTTTATACAAAATAACTATTGCCTACCAAACATGGTATAAGTTATGTTACCCCTTATACATGAATAACCTTTCTTCTAACCAGCTACCAAACGACCTCTAAGTTCTGTACCAAGTAATGCTTAGGCATCATCAACTAACCTATTTCAAGGTCTAACTACCATATTTAAGGAAAGACCAGTGTTTTTAAAAGCAAAAAGCGCAAAAAAATAATGTCCATGGAGCTTGATTGTATAGCGAGGAGAAAAGTGCATGCTTCTTTGAAGTGCAGCGCAAAAAATTTGGGAAATTAAGAAAATATCAAACATATATGAATTCAGTTCAATAAAATTGCAATTAAAATAACTAAATCCAACATCCAATGTACAATAATGCCCATAATTATCCAATTCCTCAAAGTTGATATTTAAAGAAGGGATCGATTCTTTTTGGTGGAATCACTTTGTGCAGCATCGTTTGACGTGCAAACTTCTCTAATGCACACGAGTTCACTGATGAAGCGATAACCCCTAGCTTCACATCACTTTATCAGATTAAGCGAAGTGATGACTTTTAATATCATTGAGAAAGAAGAAACCTGAAAGCTATTTCTTTTGCATCAGAAATAGATTGTTGACACCTCTTGGGTATTTCAAGCTTATTCTGAAGCTGTATTAACATTAAAAATTCTAAGAATCAGGACCGGATCTCTTTTCTGAATTGTTATAGTGAAAATTGAAAATTTTGGTATGATAACCTGGGATCGATGCTGGATAAAGAATTATATATCGTGTAGTTTTAAGCTGGTTAAATTTGAATAACATTCTAGTATCAGAAGTTTGGTCGAGCATTTTAACAGTTGTTTTGTAGTATATGATCATTTAGTTAGTTATTTAGTTCGTCTTGAAAAGATTTGGTTCTCTGTTTGGTTTGATTGACCCAAAAAGCTTAACAACACTTACCTTAAAGTCAGCAATGTCTTAAGCTTCCATAATTGGGCTTAGATCAAAATCTTTGTTGCAGTCTAATGTTCGCAAAGAAAGAAGAAAGCAGCCAGATCCTGCTTGTGTTGTCTGTAGAGGGAATGGCAGAGTGGAGTGCTACGATTGCCATGGCAGAGGTAACCCCCCCTCTCCCCCTCCCCCCTTCTCTAACACACACACACATGCAGACGAAAATGTTTGCACTAGGACATACATCTGATGCTATTTAAATCTCACAGTCAAAGCAGGTGCAAAATTTCTTGAGACATTAAAAATAAAAATGCATTAACGTTGCCTTTGAGCTACGGTTTTCTTGTCATTTAGTGCTTGAATTCTTGTTTGGGTTTGATCCAACTTGATTTAGTTTGGAGTACTAGAGATAAAGGAAAAATAAAAGTAAGAAAAGGCTTATAGTACTTCTTTTGGTTCACTTAATGTTTAGAATTTGGTAAAACAGTGGAAAAGGGTGAGGACCCTTAGACGGAAAGGATAAATTAGGAGGATAGCAATATACTGTAACTCCTTGGTAGAAAATTTGTTCTGGCGTAACCCTAGATGTCTCCACGTGGCTCTCTCTCCTTTACATTTTCTACAAAATCAACTATTTCCCCTTCGAATAGTTTCACAAAAGTATATGTGCTCCATTAATTTTTCACAAGTTTTCTTCCTATACAATTCCCTTGATACAGGGAGGACTAACTTTGTGCACCTAGAAGTGCTTCCAGGCGGAGAATGGCCAAAATGGTGAGGTATCAAGTTATTCAATTTCCTGTAATATGATATTATTACTCTGTTATTGGGGATCCTACAATCTAATCCACAGTTTCTAGGTGCAAGACTTGTGGTGGAAGTGGGCTTGGCTACTGTTCTCGTTGCCTTGGGACAGGTGAATACCGATATATAATGGGATTCCATTTCATGAGACGGGAAACTGATGAACCAGAAGGTATATAGTGATCAAGCTGACATCAAAATAGGGCAGAGTAATCCAGCAATCTGCTTCTAGAAGATCAGCGATTGGACTTTCTTGCTGCAGTTTGAACCAAATTGCGGATTAATGTTTCTCACAAGAGCAAGGTGGGCTTACACTTGGTGCAGCAGTGGAGGTTATTTAGTTGCATAACTAGAATGCTACATAATGTAATTAATTACAAAAAAGAAGTGAAATTGGTGTAGCTAACCTGCTACTAGAGTTTACTGTTATGCTGATAGTTTCTAGTGAGGAGTAGCTGCTTATGGTTCCACATGGAACTGTGTTCTTGGAACACTATCTAATGATTTTTGTGAACTGTCTGGCTGGAAATATTCTCAATATATGAAAAATCAAGTTACAAGATACCTCTTATTTTCTTTTTCTGGCTAAGAATTGTACGCCAATGCTTGTTATCTTTACACAAATAGCCTGTTGGATTTGTACTGATTATACATGGTTATACACATATTATTATATAATATATATTTGCCGGCTTTTTTAGGTTTAAACGGTTGGGTGGGAGGTTATTTAGGTTAATTCTTTTTGTTAATCCGGTACTTTTGTCCATACCACGGAACAAACTAAGATTTAAGGCTTTGACCAGAGGGAAAATTCAAAAATAGCCAGATTTACAAGTGGTCATTCAAAAATAACCACAGTTTCAAAAGTCATCAAAATTTAGCCACTTTTCATGTAAAGATAAATCTGAAGGAAAACACCGTTCAAAATCCGGAAAATACTCCGGTATATAATATACTGGAACTCCAGTATATTATACTGGAGTTTGGAGTTCCAGTATACTTTATTGGAACTCCAGTGTAGTATACTGTATTTCCAGGAAAGTATACTGGAACTTTAGTATATTATACTGGAGCCAGCAAAGTATACCGGTCCAGCATAATATGCTCGAAGTTCATACACAGGTGCACCAAACTCCACTATATTATGCTGGACCGGTCTTTGTCGCAGCAAAATAGTGGCTATTTTTCAATGACTTAGCAAACGCTGGCTATTTTTGAATGACCGGTCCGAAAACTGGCTAGCCCGTGCCATTTTGACCTGACCAGAATATTGAAGCAGAATTTTTCCAAAAGCTCAATTACAACAAACATCCTCGTCAATAAATGTAGATTTACTTTTAACATATACATTCGCAGGAAAACGATTAGTACAAGGGAAAAGCACATTCAGTGGATGAAGATTTGGTTTATTTACGAAATGGTTCAAGTTCAGGGGACATTATCAAAGCAAACAACGGAATACATTGAAAATTGATTAGTCAAATGACCAAGCTGGAGTAAGGCGCAAGTAAAAACAGAGGGAAGGTGAGGATAAAAAGTTAATACTGCACAAACTTTCTCCTACTTCATGAGATATAGATTAGATATCTAATCAAAATGTGACAGCTCTATCGTAGGAGGACTAGAGAAAATTTAATATGATTTGAGGTAAACAAGATTGGTCGGTTATCTGCAGTCCCTGAAGAAATACAAAGGAGTCCATGCTTATTTATCCTAACTTGGATGAGCTAACTAGTAATATGCTAGATGGGGGAACAACAATGTTATGAATGAGTAACTCAACTGCATTCTATACACAACAGACACACGACAGATTATATTAGATCATAATGAGCAAACTCCCTTATATATTGCACATCAATGTAGTATTGACTTCGCGAATAACTGTTTACAAATAATGTTGCACCTCACTGAATCATATTAACTTTACCTCAAATACTTCAAGAAAACAGAACCTCTATCGCATAATCATGGTCAACATGCAATATTCAATCAGCACCCTTAAATGTACACACCTCGGCAGGAATTGAACAGCGGAACAGTATAATGAATTGCACTCTTCCTGAATGAGTTCCAAAAAACTAACAATTGGCATTCATTGGAAACTAAACTACAAGGGTTTTCACCGGATGACTGCTTTTTTACATTTGAGTATGGTACTATGTTTGCTACAGGAGATGGTAGGTTGAAATAAATGTAACCCCACCTCCATATAAATTGTGGCTCACAATAATCCTTCCACATTGACCCCTTCCAGCAGTTGGCTCCGATTTGGAACAGAGATTCAGGATTATACTTTTGTGTGACAGTCAGTTGCGCCAACTGTTTTGCTTCTTTGCTTCAAAGGAGGCTCCATCGTTTAACATGTCTTGTGCATCAATTTCCATTCCAAGTTTGGAGAGGGCAAGAGCCTGCATATAGAATGCAGTAGGCCACTCGGGCAAGCAGACCTGAGCCTGCATAGCATCCCTCAATGCAAGTTCTGGCTGGCCATTCATCAAATACGAGAGGGCTCTCCTCACAAAAACAGTCCCAGAAGGAACAGGCATCATAGATACTAACTGTGGAAAAAAAAGAGTGAAACAAGTCAGCTTTGATCCAGGCAAAGTTAGGGCTCAAAATGTTACAAACCAGACGGAGAATACAATTTGATAAACATGAAAATTGACCCTGGAGTCATTAGTCAATCATGAGAAGAATTATGTCATGTGACGTCAAGAGGAGAGAAAAAAAAGCAAATATACATAACATCTAACATATTTCATGCTAAAATATGATACAACTATGCCTCAATCCCAAGTTAGTTGAAGTTGACTATATGAATCCGTGATGGTATCCATTCCTCTCCTTTATCAAAAAAATAAAAAATAATACCCATTCCTCTCCATTTGGACCCATTTCTTTCTAATACTTGATATTTTATTTTAAGAGACACATTAGGGGTTTTCTAGTACTAGAAATTTGGTACATTTTACCAAGGAATCTTAAAAGGTGTTAAGTAGATGAAGATTTTGAGATCTCTACAACATACTAGAATGTAGCAAAAATCTCCAGAACATACTACTAGAAGACTTTTGGATGTACTAAGCACCAGCTTGCCTGCAGTTGTGCAGATGCCCAATTTAAGCATGTAATAGTGAAGTACCTCACACCTCACTATTGCACTATCTTTTTTTCTTTTTTTGATGAAGTAAGATGTTTTTGTTACTGGCACCAACAACAACAGCAACAACAACAAAAGACCTAGTGTAATCCCACAAGTGGGGTCTGGGGTGGGTAGTGTACGCAGCCTTACTTCTACCTTGTGAAGGTAGAGAGGTTGTTTCCAATAGACCCTCGGCTCAGGGTAAGCATAGTCACATCACTTGTTGAAAAGAAAACAATAGTGTACAAACCATGGAAAGGAAATAGTAACACGCCATATTACCAACAACAGCTGGATAACAAGAAAACTGAAGCAAAAGAAACAACCGGTAATAATACATGTTAGGTATATGAAAATATGAGAATACTATTAATCCTATGTAAGAGAAGGATACGCTCGCGACTACCTACTAGCCTTCTACCATAATTCTCGATCTCTACTTCCTATCGAGGGTCATGCCTTTGGTAATTTGAAGATGTGTCATATCTTGCCTTATCACCTCTCCCCAATGCTTTTTAGGCCTACCTTTATCCCTTCTCGGACCCACCATGGCCAACCTTTTATACCTTCTCACTGGGGCATCTGGGCATCTCCTTTTTACATGCCCGAACCATCTCAACCTCGCTTCCCGTAACTTGTCTACCACGGGGGCCACTTCCACCTTGTTCCAAATATCATCATTCCTAATTTTATCTCTCTTAGTATGCTCATACATCCATCTCAGCATCCTCATCTCCGCTACTTGCAACTTCTGGACATGAGAGCTCTTGATTGGCCAACACTCCGCTCTATACATCATAATCGGCATAACAACCACTCTATAGAACCTACCTTTAAGTCTAGGTGGCACGTTCATATCACATAGAACACCGGAAGCGAGCCTCCATTTCATCCACCACGTGCAATATAATGAATGACATCCTTGTCAATCTCCCCATTACCTTGGATTATAGACCCAAGATACTTGAAATTGTCTCTCTTCGAAATGACTTGTATATCAAGTTGCACTTCCACGTCTGCTTCGTGAGTTACACCACTGAACTTTCACTCCAGGTACTGGCATCAAGAAGATGCAAAAACAGTACAAAAGAGGTTGATTAGCTCCATTTACACAAAAATATAGTTCTAGTCAGGGAGCTAACCAAAAACACCAAAAACCTAAGGTTGGCAATCACGCCAAAGTCAAAGAGCTAATAAAATCTAGAAAGGGAATTAACTTGTCTACAGGAGAAAGGTTGCTCCAGCTATATAGATTCCTAAGACACTTTGCTTTCAGGGAGCAATTGGGAGTTGATATGCCATCAAAGCATTTGCGATTCCTTTATGTCCAAATACACCTCGCTATTGCACTATCTTACAATATCTGATGCAGATTTTCAATTTAAGCATGTAAAAAAGGAGTAACTTGCTAAGTGTATACAAAAGTTTTGCTCCTTTTCAGCACATCATGTTTGGAAATAATTACTTGTCTATTATAAGGCATTTCCTTTCATTATTCATTTTTAGTAGAAAGCCTGAAGATCTTGTCAACCTTTTCCGTCATTAGTTACATTGAGCGCACTAGTCTCCATGATACTCAAATTTGGAACCTGGATTCCTGGAGCACTAGTATTACTCCAGTTTCATTTCTATATGGCAGTTTTTCATTAAGAGTCTAGTAAAAAAGAAAACCTTTGGAACTTGTGGTCTTAAACATGCCATGGACATTTTTATACTATAAAAGCTTGTCATTAAAAGGTAAAATGAGAAGTTTAAAGTCAAATCGTTTCCAAAATATATGGAGGTGCCTTCTTTTGTTAACAGACTAAAAAGGAAAGAGTGCCACATAAAATGGAATAGAGGGGGTATTAAATATTTTTGTTATTACTTTGATTTAGGCTTTAAACATTTTCCCCTGAATTTTTTGTTTTTGGAAACCAACAACAACTACTACACCTCAATCTCAAACTAGTACGGGTCAGCTCTATAAATGCTCACTATCCCTGTTGGTCCATTGAGACCATCTCAATCCCATATTAAATAATTTAGATTTTCTAACATTAAAAGTTCTCTATATTTTCTACTTAGCATACAAATCTCTGACAAAATTAGAAGACTCTTAGAGAATATAGGACCTAAAGTAAGCATCCCAACTAGTTGCTATCACCTATAATCTTCTTTTTCATCCATTATGCTCTATTTTTTCCAACTCTGCATGGATTCCACGATATAGGTTTTTCAAGATATCTTCATTCCATGTGATTTTAGGTCTACCTTGTTCACTTTTAATACCTTCAATTACCATGGTCTCACACCTACAAAGAGATGCATCTGGAGTTCTACTTAGAACATGTAGGATATGATCAAACCATCTCTAGCAACCTTCTCTCAAGTTTCCCACTATATGCGCTACTTACACCTTCGGCTGAGTGTAATCAAT